AGTCCTAAGTAGGACGAAACGTGCATTCTGGATTCCATTGTTAGCCACTATCCACCTTTGCTTAAATAGTATATGATGCGTTTAAATTATCCCTGAAATGTTTTTGCTTAACAAAAAAGGATTATACTTACAATTAAAGTGAGCTAAAATAATCAGGAGCTTTGAACTCAAGCAGTATAGGCATCACAGTATAGATCGTATTACTCTGCTCACTAATGACAATGGCGGATGTGTAGCTCAATTTCGTCGATTTGTTGAAGTTAGACACCGTTGGATGCAGATAGGTCTGGGTTCGAATCCCCGCGAGGCGGTATCGTGGATGCGCACTGCTGAGGAGTCCCACAATAGGACGAAACGGCCGACCAGGACTTTCAGATTTTCCATGGTGGTCTAGCTTCATGATCTCAACCACTGTAATTTAATTATGTTTACTTGTAAGTGAATGAAAGTGAACCGGAAGTAGTGTGTGTATTTACCCATAACTGAATATGACATGATATTGAACATGATATTCGGCAATCTTTTCATTACGGTTTAATGTTGAAAAATATTCAACGGTATGGTCGGTTGTATTGTCCGTTTGCCAAATAACTTACTTTATTAATCTATTTATTTATTTATTTATCTATTTATTTATTCAGATAATTACTATTAATAGTCTCATATAATAAACGTGTAAAGGTCAAATAATATGAATTATGCATTCTCTCTTGTGGGGCAAATTCAATACTCACTTGTAGAGATAAGTTTTCAATAATGACAATAAGACAAAATGGCCATCCAGTGCTTCCAGGTTTTCCATGGTGATCTTGCTTCAATTAACTCATGATCTCAACTATTGAAATGACATATAAATAATCAAATTAGCCACAGAGAAAATACAAATAAAACTCAACATTCGGATGAATATTAAAAGTGAATACATTTGTATCTTTCTAACATTGTTTTGGGTTGTGTCATTCCCAATGATTTCAGTGCTAGATCATGATTCTTCAACGAACTTTAACCAGGGAACCATGGATTTGGTGATATAGCCTAGACAAATCGTTGACAATTTCATGTTTTAGTTTGATCGCTGCTTCTTTTCTAAAATATTTCTCTTCAAAAGATTTATGAGGATTTGAAGAATATGATATCTACGTATATGCAATTTACATCTCTGTTATCCAGTCAATGAGGGTTAACAGTTTCATCAACCAACTTATTATTATTTAGTTATTAATTGTAGTCTAAACAAAATATAACTCACTACGTCTCCTTTGTAAGAAATATCAAACACAAAATTCATCTTTTTGTTTAAATCAAATAAATTATCACTTAATTTATTACGTATAATTAGAAGCTGGTGAAATTCTTAAACTATGAAATTAACCTGAATGTTATCGAATATCACTGGTAACCTGAATGATTATTGTTACGTTAATCAAACTAAATACAATAATAGAGACATTTCAATGGTTTTTAATTTACGAACAAGTCATACGTAGATCATCGATAGGAACCAGGAAGCACTGAATAACTGTTTCATTTTAATATAGAACTAATCAATAGTGTGCATACTAAATTCCGCTATACGTAGTCAAACCCAGGACTTTTAGTCTCACTCTCAAACCGTTATCCTTTGAACCACTGAGCCGGCGTTCAACAGTGGTAATGTCTAAATTCAATCAAATCGTGATGAACTGCAAACCTCATTCAGTGGATGTAGTAGATAACTGTCCCGCATACGATATGGTTCAATTTTATTGGTTATAGCTTCACAGTAAAACTTTAGGAGTTACTTCTTGAAACTAGACAGTGGGGAGTACATGATAATTTTTAGTGGAGGGAGATTTATGGAGATTGTAGAATTTTCTTAATTCAAATCATGAACAGCTCTTAATTAGATCAATACTGAAAACCAAGAAGCGTCAGATGATTGTTTCATCCTAAAACTTTGGAGGAATGGTCATTGGTTTTCAACAGTGATCTAAGGAAGGTCATTTCGTGTTATAACAACTATGAATTTGTTTTTCAATTTTTACTTAATATTCAGAAATTCCAAAGTATAACAAATTACAAATCTTTTTATCTTTCAAGACTAGTTTAACTTTAATTGTCAGTCTACCTTTATATAATGAAAAAACACACTTTACTTAAGAATTTGCCAAACATTTTTGTTACGAAACTGTATATGGGATAATATCTTTAGAGACTATTTTGATATAGATTGCAACAGCTCTATTCTCATTCAATTAGTTTCCTATATGAATTAAAATAAAGCCAGAATGAACATTGATGCAAAATAACACTAATTCATTATATTTCGGGGTTTCTCGTCAGCTGCTTACAACCGGGCATACTAATGACATTCCTCATGCTTTTAAAATTATTAGCAGACAAAGAAGTACGGCTGCTCTCCATTTTGCTGAAGCGAGCGCGATAAAGAAAACTTATTACCACCCTAGTAATCCATATTTTGTGTTTTTTTGTATTTGTTTTGTCGATTTTGTTTTTGATTGTTAGTTTTATTTTGTTAATATTTAGTTTAGGTGATATTCCTCTCCCATTACCGAATTCTTATACCACCCTTTCACTCACACATTTCCGCTCACTTACTTATTTACTTACGGCTGTTACTCTTCGCGAAGGAGCATAGGCCGCTCACTAGCATTTTCCATCCAACTCTATTCTGAGTTATTCATTCCACTTGTTTCCACTTGCTATTCCTCCTTTTCATATCTGCTTTTAATTCCCGACACAGTGTGTTCTTTGGTCTTTCTATTTTCCGCTTCCCTTCAGCATTCCAAGTTAGAGCTTACCTTATGATGCAGTTTGATGATTTGAGTAATGTATGTCCTATCCATTTCCATCGTCTTCTCCTAATTTCTTCTTCAGGTGGAAGCTGGTTTGTTCTCTCACACAGAAGGCTGTTGCTGATGGTATCCGGCCAATGGATGTTGAGTATCTTGCGTAGATAACTATTTATAAATTCTTGTAGTAGTTCTCGAAGTTTCAGCTCCGTACAGTAGAACTGACTGTTTTGACATTCAGATCAAAAAGAATTAACAGTTCTTGACTGACAACTTTCATTCATGTAATACATGTGAAAAATGTATTACACAAAGAATTTTTGAATTAAAATACTTCAAACAGTCCATCACATATGTTTTCTACTTTTTATAATTACCATCTTCATCAAGCTGATCATCCCTGTAAACTGGCATATATATAATAGTAATACTAAAACGTAAATTGAATACTTTACAGGTAATACACAGAAGATACAAGAAATTTTGTCAATTTACACTACCTGTAGTTCACTAATTAACGTCTTAAACTCTGACTAGTTATAAGCTTTGATTATCAAGATCAGCTTTGAACTAAGGCTAGATAATCTTAGTACGCTGGTGCAAATATCTTTCATTCATAAACTTGATTATGAATACAATATATATATATATATATATATATATATATATATATATATATATATATATATATATATATATATATATATATATATATATATATGCATATATATATATATATGCAGTGGAGGTGTATGAGTCAACTCATTTTAACCAAACGTTAATCGATATTTATAGTCACACAAAAATAAGCTACATATATGTGATGAGTAGAATAAGTGTACACACATATACGCTCATATAAAAATAGTCAAGGTTGATAAGTGAATTATTAACAAGGTCAAGACGTGACTCAAGAAGAACGGATAAATTGGCCTGCCCAGAAGCCAGAATAAGTTATGTGGGCTTAATATAGTGATGGACACTATACCAGTTGTAAAGGTTTCATATTAAGTACTTATGAATGTATTAACAAAATAAAATACAAAAATATTGTTTTATGTATCAATTTTATATCTATTACATTTGGCAATCAAAATTCGGTGTTCGCTATTCACCATATGTATGCAAAAAGTTAATGATTCAGTGTAGAGTTTCAGCTGTTGAAAATGGGTCTGCTTAATGAAAGAATATTACCGTAAAAAGGACTTAATACTAGAGATCACTTAATCCATCTATAAACGTTATTTTTAGTACTTCGTCGTGCATGTAAGTGTGGTGTTTGAATGAACTAATGACTCCTTTGTACTTGTTGAATGTTTGATTTCGAATTCTAAATACAGTACATTCGTTAGTGCTTGTGTAGTACTTCTTGATTCAATTGCGTTATCCCTGAGATTCTTAGTTCATACTATAATTGAATTACTCCTAATTATCATATTGGCGTCGTGATGGAGCCTGCGTTGGAAAAGTTAGATATTTATTCAACTTCTGAAGCTTTTGAGGATTATTTGGAAAGGTTTGAAATTTGGAGAATGACCAAGAAGGATGTTAAAGGTGATAAAATTGTGGCACATTTCCTGACATTCATCGGAAAAGAAGCATACAGCTTATTGAAAACTTTGGCATATCCAGAAAAACCTATCTCACTTCCTTATTCAACTCTTAAGGAGTTATTATTAAATCATGTAAAGTGCACTAGTTTTGAATGCCGTGAAAGGGCAAAATTTCATAAGATGACTCGTCGAAATGACCAAAAGGTTAAGGAATTCATCCTTGAATTGCAGAAACAAGCTGCCAAATGTAATTTTGGTGATCAACTTCATGTGCAACTGAGAGATCGATTAATTGCAGGAATTAACTTGCCGGATTTGGAAAGAGAGCTGTTAAGAATGTCCAACTGTTCCTTTCAAGATGCTAGAACTGCGTCTGTTAACTACGAGGCAGTGAATGAAATTGATATCCAGTCGATGAATATTTCTAATACTTTGCTTAGTCGTCATGATGGAATACAATCTCAGGGTCAATCAAAATTGCGTTCGTTTAACAGTGGCTCTTATTCTCGTGTAAATATGAAAGGTGTTTCAACAAGGAATTACAAAGGAAATCACAAAGGTGAGACCAAGTTTGGCAAATGTTTATCATGTGGAAAACTTCATTCTCGTAATTCATGTTCATTTCGTAATGCTAAATGTTTTAGATGTGGTAAGATAGGACACATTCAAACAGTATGCAAAGCTACTGTTCATTTCGCCTCAAGTAGTAATAAATCCTGTAATTTAGATCCCAATAATTCAGCTGTTCCTAATGATCATTTATCTTTGTCTACTGTTTCGAAAGGTAATACTCATATTCAAAAGCGATTATATACATCTCATGGTTCATGTCATGACTTTATTGTGGACACAGGCAGCATAGAGTCCATTATTTCATTCAAGAACTTGAAATCTTTAGATCCTAAAGTTGTGGTACGACCCACTGAGGTATCAATATTGGGGATTACTGGACACAGACTGCCTATACGAGGATGTTGTTGTGGAGATAGGTCTGTCAAACTTATTTTGTAAATAATTTTTATTATTATTTGTATTCATTTTTTCAATCTTTCACTGTGTGTACATTTATTATTAAATCATTTTACCTGTTGTTTTAGTAAATGACCTTGATCACTTTTTTCCGTTGTGATACTAACATAGCGTGACACTTTTTGTGATCGTTCCAAATACACTGCTACACACATACCTCTCGTTCTAAATTCACTCGCATTTGTGTTAACTGAAGTCTGAATCAAGTACCATTCATCTTTACAGACGATAATTGGAATATACCATATTTACTACTGGATCCTATCATTGGGGAACCCATCACACTCACAGGAATTATTAATCATCTATAATTGTGGATATTTAACACCAGATCAATTTGGAACACACACTCTCCTGGTAAAATAAGTAACGTTCCTCATTTCTATTGTGTTCATGACATTTAACTTATATATGTAAATATTGCTATTTGTTATAAATAACTCTATCATTACCTTTTGGATTAATATATTGTCTGGTCCACCACATTGTGAGTTGCTTATAAGAGATGATAATTCTTCATACATACCTTGTGAATTTTTAGTTAGCGAAACAGGACTGTCAATACCGGGCTTAAGGAATTTAAAAAGGCTTAAAGTGGAGCTGTCTTTCCTAGTTTCTAAAGAAAATAATGATGCTTTACTTAAAGATTTGATAGCCACGTGTGCTAAGTGCAGTGGAGGTATGAAAATTCAGCCTATAAAACTTCAAGTACAGGGTGATCCAGTCTTTCTTAAAAGACGAATAATTCCTTATGGTCTTCGAGATGCAGTACATAAAACATTAAACGATTTGTGTGCAAAAGGCATAATTGAACCGGTTCAGTCTTCAGAATGGGGTACTCCTATTGTTACGCCACTGAAATCGGACGGCAAGACTCCTAGAATATGTGGTGACTATAGATTAACACTGAACTCCCATTTGTTGAAGCAAACATGCACGACGGTAGAGGCTGAAGATATTCTAAATAGACTTCATGGTTCTAAAGTGTTCTCGAAAGTCGACCTAAAAGATGCTTATCTTCAAATCCCTTTAGATCAATCCTCATCTATTTTGACGACAATTAACACTCCTTTTGGTCTGTTCAAATACAATTTCCTTCTATTTGGTCTAAGTTGTTCTCCAGCCATATGTCAGGAAGTTATTAATAAGGTGGTTAGTGATCTTGAAGGTATTGAAGTTTATCAAGATTATCTCATTGTTCATGGTTCTGACAAGGTAGTTCATGACCAGAGACTTATTGCCTTATTGCGTCGTTTAATTGAGAAGAATATTACAGTGAATCCAAATAAGTGTTCATTTAGTGTATCTAATTTCGAATGCCTTGGATACCTAGTTGATGATAATGGTTTTAGACCAGATATGAAACGACTAGCTCCACTGGCAAATGCACCGTCTCCAAAAAATCTTACGGAACTACGTTCACTAGTGGGTGCTCTTCAATACTATTCCCGTTTTATTCCTAATTTTTCTTGTCGTGCAAATTGTTTATTTAATATTTTGACATCCAATTCATTTAAATGGGGTGAGGAACAAGAGTCATGCTTACGTACTCTACTAAAGTTTCTTCAAAGTGATGCTGTTCTTCGAACTTACTCCCCTAGTGTACAGTCTGTGCTTATCACTGATGCATCACCTGTGGGTATTGGCGCAGTTTTGGAACAGGAAGGTAGACCAGTTATTTGTGTTTCACGCAAACTTACTGTTACTGAACAAGGTTATTCACAGACTCAGCGAGAAGCATTAGCTGTGTTTTGGGCTGTTAAAAGACTTCATAAATATTTATTCGGAAAGAAATTCACTATTGTTACTGATCATGAGACTTTAAAGTTTATTTATCATCCTGAAAAATCCTTAGCACGTTCCTCAGCTGCTATGGTTCAACGATGGAGTATTGCTTTGAGTGCCTATGACTATACGGTTCAGCATAGGAGTGCCAAACAAATTCAACATGTTGACTACATTTCTCGACAGTCATTACAAGATAAACCTGTAAATACTTCAGACTGTTTGTTAGTGCAACCTTTACCAGTGAAACGTCCAGATCTCATTAGAGAAACTCGTAAATACTTTGGATGTATAATTAATGCTATACGGAAAGGTTGGAATGGTAATCTGAAACGTAGATTTCCTATCTATTTTTCAAAGCGGGATGAGCTATCTACTACTCCTGATGGTATTTTGTGTTTAAATGATCGTGTTGTTATTCCTCCTTCATTGAGTAAATCTGTCCTAGAAGATCTTCATAGTGGACATTTAAGTGTTGAAAAAATGAAGTCATTGGCGAGGCTCACATGTTGGTGGCCAGAGATAAATGCAGATATTTGTCGTACAGCAAACAATTGTGAAAAGTGTCATAAGTTGAAAAATCAGCATTCGAAGTGGACTCCATGGCCAGTATCGTCTGAGGCCTGGCAGAGAATTCATGCAGACTATTGTGGTCCGTTTCTTGGCAAATACTATGCGCTTGTAGTTATTGATTCTTTTTCAAAGTGGCCTGAAGTTTTTTTCACAACTTCACCAAATTCTGACTTCACAATTCAAGAATTAAGAAAGGTGTTTAGTCGAGAAGGGGTTCCAATGGTGTTAGTGACTGATAACGGCTCTCATTTTGCTGCAGATGCAGTCACTACCTGGTTAAATGGTATAGGGTGCAAACATCTGTTTACTGCTCCCAGACATCCTTGTTCCAATGGTCAGGCAGAAAATTTTGTCAGGACGTTAAAAACTGCTATTGATTCTATTGCCGCCTCAACATTTAATGAACTGGAGAGGGGAGTATATACCTTTCTACTGCAATATAGAAATGCCAGACATTCGGTGACGAAAGAGACTCCATCAAAACTATTAAAAGGAAGAATTCTTCGGTCGAATATGAGATGTTTGGAGTCTGCAGAAGTTACATATTATCGTGGTAATGATCTTCGACCATCCACGGGGATTGTTCTGAAGAATGTCGGGAAATCTATGGTGCGACTTCTAGATATCAATGACTTAAGTACACACAATCGACATGTTGATCAAATACAATTCCAGGAACCAGGTGAGTCTGTTCCGATTTCAGTTGTTAATTCTAATAATAATGAGTGCATTCTAGATAATACAGAGTCTTTATCCAATACATTGTCGGACAGACACAGTATGAACTTGAGAAGAAGACGTACAATTGATTACAGACACTTGGACTCTAATTTAAGCTGTGGTGGATGTGGTGTTTGAATGAATTAATGACTCCTTTGTACTTGTTGAATGTTTGATTTCGAATTCTAAATACAGTACATTCGTTAGTGCTTGTGTAGTACTTCTTGATTCAATTGCGTTATCCCTGAGATTCTTAGTTCATACTATAATTGAATTACTCCTAATTATCATATTGGCGTCGTGATGGAGCCTGCGTTGGAAAAGTTAGATATTTATTCAACTTCTGAAGCTTTTGAGGATTATTTGGAAAGGTTTGAAATTTGGAGAATGACCAAGAAGGATGTTAAAGGTGATAAAATTGTGGCACATTTCCTGACATTCATCGGAAAAGAAGCATACAGCTTATTGAAAACTTTGGCATATCCAGAAAAACCTATCTCACTTCCTTATTCAACTCTTAAGGAGTTATTATTAAATCATGTAAAGTGCACTAGTTTTGAATGCCGTGAAAGGGCAAAATTTCATAAGATGACTCGTCGAAATGACCAAAAGGTTAAGGAATTCATCCTTGAATTGCAGAAACAAGCTGCCAAATGTAATTTTGGTGATCAACTTCATGTGCAACTGAGAGATCGATTAATTGCAGGAATTAACTTGCCGGATTTGGAAAGAGAGCTGTTAAGAATGTCCAACTGTTCCTTTCAAGATGCTAGAACTGCGTCTGTTAACTACGAGGCAGTGAATGAAATTGATATCCAGTCGATGAATATTTCTAATACTTTGCTTAGTCGTCATGATGGAATACAATCTCAGGGTCAATCAAAATTGCGTTCGTTTAACAGTGGCTCTTATTCTCGTGTAAATATGAAAGGTGTTTCAACAAGGAATTACAAAGGAAATCACAAAGGTGAGACCAAGTTTGGCAAATGTTTATCATGTGGAAAACTTCATTCTCGTAATTCATGTTCATTTCGTAATGCTAAATGTTTTAGATGTGGTAAGATAGGACACATTCAAACAGTATGCAAAGCTACTGTTCATTTCGCCTCAAGTAGTAATAAATCCTGTAATTTAGATCCCAATAATTCAGCTGTTCCTAATGATCATTTATCTTTGTCTACTGTTTCGAAAGGTAATACTCATATTCAAAAGCGATTATATACATCTCATGGTTCATGTCATGACTTTATTGTGGACACAGGCAGCATAGAGTCCATTATTTCATTCAAGAACTTGAAATCTTTAGATCCTAAAGTTGTGGTACGACCCACTGAGGTATCAATATTGGGGATTACTGGACACAGACTGCCTATACGAGGATGTTGTTGTGGAGATAGGTCTGTCAAACTTATTTTGTAAATAATTTTTATTATTATTTGTATTCATTTTTTCAATCTTTCACTGTGTGTACATTTATTATTAAATCATTTTACCTGTTGTTTTAGTAAATGACCTTGATCACTTTTTTCCGTTGTGATACTAACATAGCGTGACACTTTTTGTGATCGTTCCAAATACACTGCTACACACATACCTCTCGTTCTAAATTCACTCGCATTTGTGTTAACTGAAGTCTGAATCAAGTACCATTCATCTTTACAGACGATAATTGGAATATACCATATTTACTACTGGATCCTATCATTGGGGAACCCATCACACTCACAGGAATTATTAATCATCTATAATTGTGGATATTTAACACCAGATCAATTTGGAACACACACTCTCCTGGTAAAATAAGTAACGTTCCTCATTTCTATTGTGTTCATGACATTTAACTTATATATGTAAATATTGCTATTTGTTATAAATAACTCTATCATTACCTTTTGGATTAATATATTGTCTGGTCCACCACATTGTGAGTTGCTTATAAGAGATGATAATTCTTCATACATACCTTGTGAATTTTTAGTTAGCGAAACAGGACTGTCAATACCGGGCTTAAGGAATTTAAAAAGGCTTAAAGTGGAGCTGTCTTTCCTAGTTTCTAAAGAAAATAATGATGCTTTACTTAAAGATTTGATAGCCACGTGTGCTAAGTGCAGTGGAGGTATGAAAATTCAGCCTATAAAACTTCAAGTACAGGGTGATCCAGTCTTTCTTAAAAGACGAATAATTCCTTATGGTCTTCGAGATGCAGTACATAAAACATTAAACGATTTGTGTGCAAAAGGCATAATTGAACCGGTTCAGTCTTCAGAATGGGGTACTCCTATTGTTACGCCACTGAAATCGGACGGCAAGACTCCTAGAATATGTGGTGACTATAGATTAACACTGAACTCCCATTTGTTGAAGCAAACATGCACGACGGTAGAGGCTGAAGATATTCTAAATAGACTTCATGGTTCTAAAGTGTTCTCGAAAGTCGACCTAAAAGATGCTTATCTTCAAATCCCTTTAGATCAATCCTCATCTATTTTGACGACAATTAACACTCCTTTTGGTCTGTTCAAATACAATTTCCTTCTATTTGGTCTAAGTTGTTCTCCAGCCATATGTCAGGAAGTTATTAATAAGGTGGTTAGTGATCTTGAAGGTATTGAAGTTTATCAAGATTATCTCATTGTTCATGGTTCTGACAAGGTAGTTCATGACCAGAGACTTATTGCCTTATTGCGTCGTTTAATTGAGAAGAATATTACAGTGAATCCAAATAAGTGTTCATTTAGTGTATCTAATTTCGAATGCCTTGGATACCTAGTTGATGATAATGGTTTTAGACCAGATATGAAACGACTAGCTCCACTGGCAAATGCACCGTCTCCAAAAAATCTTACGGAACTACGTTCACTAGTGGGTGCTCTTCAATACTATTCCCGTTTTATTCCTAATTTTTCTTGTCGTGCAAATTGTTTATTTAATATTTTGACATCCAATTCATTTAAATGGGGTGAGGAACAAGAGTCATGCTTACGTACTCTACTAAAGTTTCTTCAAAGTGATGCTGTTCTTCGAACTTACTCCCCTAGTGTACAGTCTGTGCTTATCACTGATGCATCACCTGTGGGTATTGGCGCAGTTTTGGAACAGGAAGGTAGACCAGTTATTTGTGTTTCACGCAAACTTACTGTTACTGAACAAGGTTATTCACAGACTCAGCGAGAAGCATTAGCTGTGTTTTGGGCTGTTAAAAGACTTCATAAATATTTATTCGGAAAGAAATTCACTATTGTTACTGATCATGAGACTTTAAAGTTTATTTATCATCCTGAAAAATCCTTAGCACGTTCCTCAGCTGCTATGGTTCAACGATGGAGTATTGCTTTGAGTGCCTATGACTATACGGTTCAGCATAGGAGTGCCAAACAAATTCAACATGTTGACTACATTTCTCGACAGTCATTACAAGATAAACCTGTAAATACTTCAGACTGTTTGTTAGTGCAACCTTTACCAGTGAAACGTCCAGATCTCATTAGAGAAACTCGTAAATACTTTGGATGTATAATTAATGCTATACGGAAAGGTTGGAATGGTAATCTGAAACGTAGATTTCCTATCTATTTTTCAAAGCGGGATGAGCTATCTACTACTCCTGATGGTATTTTGTGTTTAAATGATCGTGTTGTTATTCCTCCTTCATTGAGTAAATCTGTCCTAGAAGATCTTCATAGTGGACATTTAAGTGTTGAAAAAATGAAGTCATTGGCGAGGCTCACATGTTGGTGGCCAGAGATAAATGCAGATATTTGTCGTACAGCAAACAATTGTGAAAAGTGTCATAAGTTGAAAAATCAGCATTCGAAGTGGACTCCATGGCCAGTATCGTCTGAGGCCTGGCAGAGAATTCATGCAGACTATTGTGGTCCGTTTCTTGGCAAATACTATGCGCTTGTAGTTATTGATTCTTTTTCAAAGTGGCCTGAAGTTTTTTTCACAACTTCACCAAATTCTGACTTCACAATTCAAGAATTAAGAAAGGTGTTTAGTCGAGAAGGGGTTCCAATGGTGTTAGTGACTGATAACGGCTCTCATTTTGCTGCAGATGCAGTCACTACCTGGTTAAATGGTATAGGGTGCAAACATCTGTTTACTGCTCCCAGACATCCTTGTTCCAATGGTCAGGCAGAAAATTTTGTCAGGACGTTAAAAACTGCTATTGATTCTATTGCCGCCTCAACATTTAATGAACTGGAGAGGGGAGTATATACCTTTCTACTGCAATATAGAAATGCCAGACATTCGGTGACGAAAGAGACTCCATCAAAACTATTAAAAGGAAGAATTCTTCGGTCGAATATGAGATGTTTGGAGTCTGCAGAAGTTACATATTATCGTGGTAATGATCTTCGACCATCCACGGGGATTGTTCTGAAGAATGTCGGGAAATCTATGGTGCGACTTCTAGATATCAATGACTTAAGTACACACAATCGACATGTTGATCAAATACAATTCCAGGAACCAGGTGAGTCTGTTCCGATTTCAGTTGTTAATTCTAATAATAATGAGTGCATTCTAGATAATACAGAGTCTTTATCCAATACATTGTCGGACAGACACAGTATGAACTTGAGAAGAAGACGTACAATTGATTACAGACACTTGGACTCTAATTTAAGCTGTGGTGGATGTGGTGTTTGAATGAATTAATGACTCCTTTGTACTTGTTGAATGTTTGATTTCGAATTCTAAATACAGTACATTCGTTAGTGCTTGTGTAGTACTTCTTGATTCAATTGCGTTATCCCTGAGATTCTTAGTTCATACTATAATTGAATTACTCCTAATTATCATATTGGCGTCGTGATGGAGCCTGCGTTGGAAAAGTTAGATATTTATTCAACTTCTGAAGCTTTTGAGGATTATTTGGAAAGGTTTGAAATTTGGAGAATGACCAAGAAGGATGTTAAAGGTGATAAAATTGTGGCACATTTCCTGACATTCATCGGAAAAGAAGCATACAGCTTATTGAAAACTTTGGCATATCCAGAAAAACCTATCTCACTTCCTTATTCAACTCTTAAGGAGTTATTATTAAATCATGTAAAGTGCACTAGTTTTGAATGCCGTGAAAGGGCAAAATTTCATAAGATGACTCGTCGAAATGACCAAAAGGTTAAGGAATTCATCCTTGAATTGCAGAAACAAGCTGCCAAATGTAATTTTGGTGATCAACTTC